GCAGTTAGGATCTCCAGGGGCTCTTTGGTCTTAGTTGATAGTCCTAGAAAAAACAACCTCTGTGGATTCGGTTGTAGCACAGCTGTGTAAGATCTGTTGGATATTTAGTGTTTGGCAACTGCAAGAGGGAAAAACAGGGCTGTGTGCTACAGGAAAGGGGAAGGAATGGAAGTACAGTGCTGCATTTCTAGGTGTGCTCCTGGCTTTGCAGCCAGACAGGGTGTGGAGAGCGGGAAGAGGAAGGAGGGTTCCTGAGAGGACCACATATCCATCCCATGTTACACCACCAATGAGGCAGAGAAGGCCACCCTGGCCAAGACAGAGCAGCTGGCTGCACAAAAATGCTGCTTCTAACAACCTAAAACTGTAGTTGTGACATACACACAGTGGCAACGTTCTCCGCTCCAGCACAGGTGACGTAGAGAGGAGAAGGTAAACACAGCTACACACGTGTTGGGCAACAGAGAGATGCTGTTACCTGCCCCTTTCCTCAGCAGCTTCAGCTATGTGAGCCCTAGGCCTCTGATCCAACCTGCTCTCACTGCTGTCACCTCTCTCCATGGGTTCATTGGCCACAGGAGAAGGTATCAGAACTGGGCAAGCACATCCTGCCCCGTTGAGCTGCACATACCCAGTGCCTCATCAATCCATCAGCTAAGGCAGGGGGACAAGACAGGCAATCTCCAGTCCTCTATACAACACAGCTACATCTGGTGTCAACGTGTCTGAGATGGAAGCCAGAAGAAAGATGTTATGGGATAAAACAGGTGTTTCATGGCCAACAACCCTAAACCAGGGGCCTCTAGACAGGCTGGTAGCACAGAGTCAAGCTTTCAAGATCACTGCAGTAAATTCATTCCATAACCCCTGCCCTAGGTTTGTATTTTATTCAGGAATTTAGCATCCCCTCTGCAATGCAGGCAATGTCCCCCCCTGTACCAGATCACACAGCAGCTCTGGAAAAATAATCACCAGTTACACTGCTCACAGACAACTCAAAGACCCCTGTTGGGACTAAATTCCACTAAAGGCAAACCCTGGACTGCACTGCCATGCTGTGGAGGAGGAGGAGGAGGTGATGGTTTACAGACACGGCCGCTCCTGCCCCTGCCAGCTTGTCCTACTCTGTGCATAGTGCGAAACAGTGCAGTCATTCATCAGAGGAAGTTCAGGACCAAGGAAACTAGGTTCCCTTTCAGCCAAACAATTAGAGGAAGGAGAGGCAGTTCTGTTTTAGCTGGGCCGGCACTGGACTTGCCCCTCTGAGCTGTCTTCATCATCTGAGCCTCCAGCCCCACCACTGGTCAGTCCTGTGATCCGGTACCCCATGTTCAGCAACATCACCTCCAGTGGGTCTGCGTTCATTCGTCTCTGGTTGGCTTGGGAAGCACCTTCCATGTCCACCACCACGCGGCCGTTGAGGGTCTCACTCTGCAAGACACCAAGGGAGAGAACTCAGGAGCCAAGAAGGGCTGTTACTGCTGCTGCAACTAGAGATCCCAGTGGGAGAAAACAGTAGGGAAGACCATGTTACACGTCCTGACAACGCGAGTCTTTGACACTTACCTCTGGCCTGGGGTTCCACAGTCGTACAACAGGGTCAATGCCACTGGTAGCCAGGAAGCAGTAGCTGGGATGAGGCTGGAGACAGTTCACAATGGACTCATCTCCCTGCAATACTCTGACAAGGTTGGTGGTTTCCTTCTCCCAGATGAAGAAGGAGCCGTCGTCCGACCCACTCACTATGTACTGTGCATTGCTAGGGCGAGAAAGGCAGAGGCTGGAGGTCACAGCTCGGAGCCACAGCTAGTCCCCAGCAGACATGGCAATCTCAGATGGCTTCTATAATCTGCAGGCTGACACTCCTTATGCTTACAGATCCACATAAACCTTTCCATGCTGGTTTCTTCCATCCCCCAGGATTCATGTTTTCAATCCCAAATGCATTCCTGATACACTAGCCCAACCTCTGTGGATCTGCTCCTGCTAAGCTCCTCGTGCAGCCACACAGGAGGAAGGCTCCTGTCATCTCTTTCAACCCTCCAAACCAGCCTCTGTGTCATTTTATGAACAGTCACATGGGGCTACACCTGAGGCTTTATCTGACGAAGAGAGAGCATCCTGCTGCTGCTCACACTCTTGCCCTCATCCCTATCACACTCTGCCAACATACCTGCCAAAGAAATTGGCCTCTTTGATGTCTGTAGTGGTGTTACAGTGGCCACAGTATCGGAATTTGTAGTCGTAGCTGCGCTCCCTCAGCACCATCTCGTCCTCAGAGATGGAATCCTTGCGGCCTGTGGCTCGCAGCCGGATGGGGCCACCCCCCTTCTTGTCTTCAGCTGGAAGGACAACACATTTCCCTCATCACCATTTGGGGAGGCACATGTTCTAAGCAAACAGCACCCCAGGAGACCCCAAGAGCCTTAGAGAAGAGTTAAGGACAATTCCAGCAGGGAGCAGGGCTTAGAGCACAAGCTTCCTTCCAGATTATCTCCTGGGTACATCAGACTCCTTTCATCACACTCTCACTCAAGAGCAAACCAGGACCAGGCACAAGGAAAGAACAGGCTGAGACCAGTTTTTGGGCACAGTGAAATCAATCTCTCTTAGAGGCTGAAGCTTTACTTCAGAGGAGCAGTTTAAGGAGGAAAGTCCTTGTCTGATCACTAGGTTCTAGTCCAACCCTGCAGCAGCACTCACCGTTGTCACTCTTGGAGAAGAGAGCTGCATTGATATCCCTGTCCAGCGCATCGCAGGCACTGCTGTGTGCTTGTTCTGGAAACTTCCCTTTAAAGTCATCCAGACACTCCAGTGCTTCTGCCACGTACTTGAGTTCAAAGAGACAGCGAGCCAGGCGGAAATGTGCCTTCAGGTGACACGGATTTAAGGATATGGCCTTCAAACAGTCTCTTAGAGCATCGTAATGGTCCCCATCCCTGAAGGAAAAGGAGCAGGGGATTACACAGCCCAAGCAGCAACAGCAAACACTTTGCACTGCTGTTTCCCAGCCCTCATTTCACTCCACAGCTTGCTGTTTGCAGCAGACACCCCACAAGCTCCCTAACAGCATCTGCTGTGTCTCAGGGGCACCACCTGACCCGGCTCAGCCTCCCTAACACCCCTCCAGCCACCCACAGGCAGCCCTGGGATGCGACCAAACAGAGACACCCTGCGAGCCCTGACCTGCCATTTTAAATCCAAGAGAGCAGAGCTCCCTGCTGCAACACATTTCGGGAAGTCCTTTGAAGATGGAGGATGCTCAGCCCTCTGGCCAGGCAGCACAGGCCTCTCCTGCCAGGAGCAGGCTGGAGAGGCTCCTCGCACTGCAGCTCACGCGTGCCCCTGTGTGGATGTGCTGCGTGGCCGCACAGCTCCTGCCCACAGACACTCCGAGCACTCAGCAATGTGCTGCACAGCCACCACACCTCACAGCCCCCATGGAAAAACACCTCCAGCAGGAGGCTTTTCTCTCACCTTTATGGGTAGAAAGCTTTGAGTTTTAGAAATGAGTGTTATGGCAGATTGGTGTTGTAATGGGTGTTTATGTCCTGTTTGCAGTGCTGGGCTTGGTTTCCCTGGATGATGTGGTTGTGGGAATAAGGGTGGCTCTGGTTGTGCTCTGCAAGCAGGAGGGACTTGTTGAGCCTTGTGTTGCTAGTGTTCAGCTCAGGCTGACAAGGCTGACACACCTGAGGTACCAACATCAAGCCTAAACTGCTGAAAGGCACCACAAGCTGCATTAAGAGTGCCAAGTCTTCACTTTATGGTTAAGAATCATGTTTCATACCTCTCACCTACATGCCCCATCCCTGGAAGTGTTCAAAGCCAGGCTGGATGAGGCTTGGAGCAACCTGGTCTAGTGGAAGGTGTCCCTGCCCATGGCAGGAGCTGGAAAGAGATGAGTTTAAGGTCCCTTCCAACTCAAACCATTACAGGGGTCTATGCACTGTACCTACCAAAGTCTGAAACAATCCTCAAGGGAAGATGATGAATTGCCCTGTGTTTTCCACAGGGCAACAATTTTAGACCACATGGAGCCTTTGCCAGGGAATACCAAAATGGTTCAGGTTGGAAGGTGCCACTGGAGGTCACACAGAGGACCCCCTGTGCTCTAATGGGGTTCCCTACAGCACATTCCTTAGGATTGTGTCCACACAGCCTTCTAATCTCTCCAGGGAAAGA